GTTACCCCATATGACCTTCATGAAGTTTATCAAGAATTTCTAACCGCATTGAGCTTGGAATTAAAATACGCGATCCTCTCATCAGGATATTTTGTACTAAAGCGATTTCATGGCGTACAGCCCAATATGCTCTTAATGCACTACTCAAAATAACACGATCTGGCCATCCATGTTTAACATATTCTTTAATTTTAACACATACAGGATCGATTTCCTGTTGTTTAATAATTTCAGTTAAACGATTTTCAAGTTTCTTACAATTTTGAACTACGCCAGATATCATGGCTTCACATTCTTTTGATAATTCTAAATCAGACTTATCTGCAGTAACCGATAAAGGTGCTCTGCTTAAAGCGTCAGCTATAATTAGATCACGACCGGGAACGTGACTAATTGTATATCTATACCTAAATAACCGTAATCTAAATCTCTGAATTCTTGTAGGTAGCTCATTTACACATTTGGTTCCTAACAATGAGATTAAAGGTTTATGATCTGTTTCGATATGAAATTTTATACCGATTAAATAATCTGAAAATTTATCACAAGCCCAGGTTACGCCTAGCGCTTCTTTATCAATTTGTGGATAATTTTGCTCTGCGGAAGTCATTGTTCTCGAGGCAAATAAAACAGGTTTCCAATCATCGTTGGAATTAGCTTTTTGAAAAAGTGCGGCTCCTAAACCAAACTTTGATGCATCAGCATTCACTTTTGTTTCGTGATTAGGATTATAATGTTTCAAAATTTTAGGTGAACATAATTCAACTTTAATTCTTTCAAAAGCATTTTGACGCCTATTTGTCCAAGTAAATTCTACTTTTGGCGATATTAATTCACGCAAAGGCTGTGTTAATTCAGCTAAATTAGGAGTGAATTTGCCTAATTGATGGATAACTCCCAAAATTCTGCGTATTCCATGAATATCAGTTGGAGGTTCCATATAACTTATTGCCTTTAATTTGTCGGGATCAGGTTCTATACCACTCTTACTGATAATATGTCCTAAAAATTTTACACGTGTTTGTGAAAATTTACATTTCGACAAATTTAAAGTTAATCCTGAAGTTTCAAGTTTTTCTAAAACTTGATTGAGCCTTTTATCATGTTCTGACTTAGTTTTGCCAAACACTAAAATATCGTCCATATGACATAATACACTTGAAAATCCGTCCAAGAGTTGCAACATACGTTTTTGAAAATATTCCGGTGCGGAATTTATTCCAAAAGGAAGACGATTAAACTCGTATCTCCCGAAAGGAGTCATAAAAGTGGTTAAGGAACGTGATTCCGGACTTATACCTATTTGAAAAAATCCACTATTGGCATCCAATTTTGACATATAGCATGCATCCGATAATTGACCCAATGTAGTTTCAACAGTTGGGAGCATATAATTTTCAACTAAAACATTTTTGTTTAGCATAGTAAAATCTACGCACAAACGAATCCGACCATCGTCCTTATCAATTGGTACGATTGGGAAACACCAATCAGTCGGTTTATCAACCTTAGAAATTACACCAGTGTCTAACAAATGTTTCAACTCGGTTTTAAGTTTTTCATATTGAGGCAGCTTAACTGCTCTAGATGTAACTACAGAATAAGGAACTGCATCTGGACGTAATCTAATAGTGTACTGTCCCTCTAGTTTCCCTAAACCAGTAAACAATTTTGGATATTTGTCAACAAAAGGTGATTTTGTGCCTACATCAATTTTATCTAATTTAAAACTAGAGTTATCACAACTGCTACTAATATTATTATCAGTGCGTTCTAAAAGATCTAAATCTAATATGGCAGGTATACCTAAAAGAGCTGTAGATAAATTCTTAATAACAAAAATATCTTGCTTACTACACTTATTACCTGTGCTTATATTAGCAGAAAACATACCTATAACAAATAATACCTCTTTACTAGGGCCATATAATACTTTGTTAGGCTTACTTAATCTTAGGATTTAATGATCTTATTCTATCATAAGCTTTTTCAGGAATAGATGTGACCTCTGCCCCTGAGTCTATCTTAAAATCTACATGAGCTTTATCTACATATGCATCAACCTTAAACAAATCTTTTGCATAAGACATATTATTAATATCTCCTGAAACAGTGCCTAGAAATATAAGTTCTGGATTAGTATCATTTCTAGCATTTACAGAAAAAACACGTTTGCTTTGGCAAAGTCTTTCAAAATGTCCTATTTTCTGACACTTCCTGCACTTCGCAGATGCTGCTGGACACTCATCTCGGCTATGCTTGGATCTTCCACATCTGTGATGTCTTGTGTTGTGGATTTCCTGGTTTCTTGTAGTCTTTTGACTTCGTTGACTTTTGACTGTGAAATTTCTGTTTTGACATAACATTCACGTTTG